GGTGCGGGAGGGCTGGCTTCTTCCTTTCCATCCTGGTGCCACTGGTGTTTCTTGGCTTATTGCCCCCACTGCTTCTATCTCTGCTTCCACTGTCACGTTGCCTCCTTTGTAACCAAGCCTCATCTTCTCCCCTTAGAAGGACACCTGTGATTGTATTTAGGGCTCCCCTGCATAATCCAGATAATATCCGCATTGAAAATTACATCATAATCCCACCCACAAGTCACTTTGCCATGGAAAGCATTGTTCATGGGATCTGGATGTTGAGCCTTCTGTAACAGGGCCATTATTGAACCTACCCTAATGACCATGATGATAGATTGAGATTTTTTTTTTTTTTTTTTGTCGGTCATGGGGCTTGAACTCTGGGCCTGGGTGCTGTCCCTCAGCTCTTCAGCTCAAGGCGAGCGCTCTACCACTTGAGCTACAGCGCCACTTCCGGTTTTCTAGTGGTTTATAGGAGTCTCACGGTCTTTCCTGCCCGGGCTGGCTTTGAACCGTGATTCTCAAATCTCAGCCTCCTGAGTAGCTAGGAATACAGGCGTGAGCCACCGGCGCCCGGCTTAGATTGAGATTTTTAATACAAGGTTATTTTAACCAGTCTCTTTTGCACATATCTCATGTAGAAGAAAGGCATTATGTTACATTTTAAACTATAAATACAGAAATTCATGGATGATATTTAATAGACTATTTTCTCTTGCTAATTATGCATGTCATTAGTGATTTTCTACAAGTACTTTAATTGTATGACATTTCTACCAAGTAGAAACACAACAGATTTACAACAAATCATTTGAAAGTTTTTGCTTTGTGATGATTTTCATCCTTTGCAGATCATTTTGTACTTCTAGAATACTTGCAAAAATAAAACCAGGTGTGCTCCCTAAGTGCCTTCTGCTTAGCTTCCCCAGTGTTAACCTCCTATACTGTTCGTATTGTCTCATTTCCTTGTGCAAATATGTTCTTTGTCTTTGACATGTGCTTTTAGCCTTCCCCATTTGATTTTTTCTATTGTTAGAATTTTTGTAAGTTGTGTATAGTCCCACACTGTGCAATCCTTCTAAAGTGGATAATTCAGTGGTTTTTGTTATATTCCTAAAAGATTGGGCAACCATTACCACGATCTAATTTCAGAATAATTCATCCTCTCCTCAAGGAACCCCAGACCTTTTATCAGGAACCCTCGCCCCACCCCTCACCCAGCTCTGCACAGCTACCCTTTGCTCTCTTCTCCCTTTAGATGGTTTTGTTCTGGACTTTTCATATAAATGGAATCATGTGATATGTGACCTTTTATAACTGGCTTCTTTTACTTAGCATAATGTTTTCAATGATCATTTGTATGACTCAGGACTGCATTTTATTAAGTGCTGAATAATACCCTGTTATATGGATTCATAATGTGACTAAATCACACTTTTTGGGATATGCTATTTTTTGTTTCATTTTATTTTAACTTTTGATGGTACTGAGGCTTGAACTCAGGGCTTTGATAGTCAAGGGCTCTACTACTTGAGCCACGCTTCCAGTCCTTTATCCTGTGATTGGTTTTGCGATAGGCTTTCACTGTTTTTGTTGTTTTTTTTTTTTTTTTGGTCAGTCATGGGGCTTGAACTCTGGGCTTGGGCGCTGTCCCTATACTCTTCAGCTCAAGGTGAGCGCTCTACCGCTTGAGCCACAGTGCCACTTCTGGTTTTCTAGTGGTTTATTGGAGATAAGAGTCTCACGGACTTTCCTGCCCAGGCTGGCTCTGAACCGTGATCGTCAGATCTCAGCCTCCTGAGTAGCTAGGATTACAAGCATGAGCCACCGGCGCCCAGCAGGCTCTTACTTTTTGCCTGGCCTGGTCTAGACCTCAGTACTCCTAATTATGCTTCCCACTGTAGCAGGATGACAAGCACATGCCATTAAACTCAGCTTCTGATGAGCTGAAGTCTCATGAACTCAGGCTGGCCAGGATTTGAGATCCTCCTGATTTTAGCCTCCTGCATACCTGGCACCACAGCTGTGAGCAATAATGCCCAGCCATTAGTTGAGAGGAGGGAATCTCGTGAAATTTTGCTTAGGCTGGCCTTGAACATGAGTAGTTAGGAGCCACAACACCTGGCTGTATATTTTATCTATTCATCATTTGATAGACACTTAGGTTGCTCCTTCCACACACCCCCTTTTTTTTAGCAGTATTTTGGTTGATCTCAGGGTGTCATACTTGCTAGGCAGGTACTCCATCATTTGAACCATGTCCCCAGTACCTTTGTACTTCGTTTTTTGAACAGGATCTTGCCTTTTTATCCAAGCTATCTGGACCACAGTCTTTCTACCTATATATCATGTGTAGCTGGGACCATAGGTGTGTACCACTAAACTGGCTTTATTGACTTAGATGATTGTTTTCTGGGATGGCCTCAAACTGTGATCTTCTTGATCTCCACCTCCCATGTAGCTGGGATTATAAGCAATAGCCACTGGCACCTGGCCATAGGTTGCTTCCACTGTTTAACCATTATAAAGAATACTGCTATGCACATTCATGTACACTTGTTTGTTTTGTCAGTTGTGGGGTTTGAACTTAGGGTGTGGGTGTTGTCTCTGAGCCTCTTTGTGTTGAAGGCTAGCATTCTACCATTTGAGTCACAGTGCCACTACTGGTTTTTGAGTAGTTAATTGGAGATAAGAGTCTCAAGGGGGCTTTTCTGCCCAGGCTGGCTTTGAAACACAATTCTCAGATCTCAGCCTCCTAAGTAGCTAGGATTACAGGCTACCGGCCTCTGTGAGCCATCAGTGTCCAGCCCATGTACAAGTTTTGATGTGGCTTTAAGGTTTCCATTCTTTTGGACATACATGTAAGAAGAGAATCACTAGGTGGTAACTTTGTTTAACTTTTTGTGCAACTACCCACTCAGTTATTTTAGTTTTTTTCTTGAGAAATTTGTCCTCCACTTTGAAAGTGTAGGACAGTGAGGCTGGGATCCAGGTAGGGATGGGGCACTCTCTTAGCCTCAGATATTCTTCTGGACATGAAATGTTGAAGGTGGTTAGCATGGTGTCCCTGTGTGGTCCTGAAACTGAAATATTAAGAAGAGCCTATCTGTCGAAAGAGTTCTTTTTATTTGTGTTTAGTTTGTCCAATGCTCAGTTCTCTTTGGTCCTATGGAGATCCATTTGACAAATTTTCTTGTTTTACAAGTAGGGATGCTCCATCATTGGGATATTATTCATCCTTCTCTAATGGTTCATAAAGAGAACTGGTCACCCATCCAATGAATCAATGTTCTTTTAATCTTTTTTATTTATTTTTTATTTTGTCAGTCTTGGGGCTTAAACTCAGGGCCCAAGTGCCATCCCTGAGCTTTTTTGCTCAAAGCTAGCATTCTACCATTGGAGCCACAGCTCCATTTCCAGATTTTTAAAAAAAAGTTAATTGGAGAAAAGAGTCTCATGGACTTTCAAACTCTGATATTCAGATCGCAGCCTCCTGAGTAGCTAGGGTTATAGGCATGCACCACCAACGCCAAGATTTTTTTTTCCTAAAAAGTAATGGATAAAATCTGGTAACTGTAGCATTAGTCATTTTTCTTTAAATGAAGAGAAATGCAAAATGACTTTTTTGTTAAAACCATTTTAAATGCATGATTGTAAATCCAGATGGAGTCCCAGGGAGACTTGTTTTGATATTATTTTAAATAACTGCTTGTGTATATCTGATGGAAAAAATTGAAAAAGTATAATTTTCTATCTTGTTCAAAAATCTTAGTCCTATATGGGAAGATCTTTAAGTCAATATGCACTGTGATCAAACATGCATGCTGGGTATTGGCTGCAGAGTTCTGTGAAGCAGTAGAACATGAATTAACATTCTACTGAAACCTGCGGTTGGGAAGCTGCAAGGTCATGAGAGCAACTCTATCTCTAAGTTCTGACAGTCCTTACTAGTTTCAATAAATATTAGCATTATCAAGATGATTCCAGAAATATCCTGCTTGAAATCTTGATGATAAATAATATCCTTAAAATACTTTGGATGATGTAACTGTTTAGATAAAAAACTTGCAGCTTCCAACTAAAGGGGATTTGGAATTTAGCATAAAATAATTCTAATGAAATTCATGGAATTAACAATTTTGTACTAAAAAGGCATTAGATATTTATCTACTTGTCACTTAGCCCACCAAGTTACATGTTAGGGTCTGATTCCAAGAATAAGTTAAGTAATTTACTTATTGTTGTGATTGTTAAACAGAAATTTCATCAAATTGTATATATTAATTGGATATTTACAAAAACTTTAGTTACTATTTATAAATTTAATTTCTTATATTTATAAGAATGCTTTAAGTACTTGAAAACATATGAGCTAAGGGAACTATGTAAAGTAAATAGAATCTGTTAGTTAAGGTTCTCTCATTTCTTGCCCTTCTTTCCTCATTTTCCAGGAACCATGGTTTTTAAGGGCCTTCTGTCTAGTATCTGAAAACTGTTCTTATACACATTCATGTGTGAACACACACACACACACACACACACACACACACACACACACGTACACATACACACATCTCATCCAGTTCTGGAAGCACATTTAAATTTTTGTCTAGAAAGGCCTGAATCATATTTACAAAACAAATGCAAAGCTCAAAGTCAATGAAACACGAAGGCTTTCTGTACAGGTAAGTGTAATAAGAATGGAAAGGAATAATTATGATCAAGGAAGGCATCTATCACAGAGAAGTATAACAAAGTCTTGGAAGTCTGTTCGATGGTAACTTTTTTACATGTCTTATTATACTATTATTGGTGTTTTCATGTGTGCTATATAGCTGTTTCATAATAAATATTTTTGAATAAATACCTTAGTTTTCAGATACTTTTTACCTTATCTACAATTCTAAATTTGAGTTTATAAAAAAGTAATATATTTGAATCATCCCTTCTGTTATATTAAATTCTTGATAATTTGCTTCTCTGAAAGGAGTGAAATGTCTTTTTCTGCATTTCAGAGACCTATTACTATGTTTCTCCACTAGTCGGTGTCCTTTTCTTGGCTCTAACTCCTATCTGGATTATAATAGCTGCCAAGCATCCAGCCACAAGGACAGTCCTCCATTCAGGCTGGGAGCCTGTCATAACAGCCATGGTTATAAGTAGGTTAGTATTAAATGTGTATGCGCACTCTATTTACAGGTATGCATGTTTTAAACAAGCTGCCTGATTTTATTTCTTGGATGAACTATTGTACAGAACCAATTTATAATCTTCTCAGATAATAATGTGCAAGTATCAGAAAAACCTGAAACTCTTTTGACTGTCACATCCAGCTACTTGTCCCAAAACAACAAATAAACAGATGGGGGATAACAACAATGAAGTGATGGGGAAGGACAGACATGGGAGGCTTATTAGTGCAGCACAAGGAAGAGGAAAGGAGAGCACTGCAGCCCATCTTCAGGCGACTACATGAGCTTTAGGTTTAAAGGAAGATTGGGGAGCAGGATATGGGACATATGCATAATGATTAAACAGTGCCATTCACAGGTGTGGTCTGTTATCAGAAGAGTGGCCCAAGTTGCTCCTTACCTCAGGATTGGTCAGGCAGAGCCTGGCAACAATAAGAAAGTCATTGCTGCCTGGCAGTTGGGAGAGCTTCCTCTCAGTTACAGGATGCTCCTCTATTAGTCCTGTCCTTCCTGAATTCTAACGTAGCTGCAAGGTGACTGGCAGGACACTGGTAAGGACACAGGGAGATCAAGCATTTATCTTGTATTTAATTATCCTTTGGAATTTGTAGGCCTGAGTTAAAAGTGAGTGCTGGAAGTGGGACTGTGGCTCAAGTGGTAGAGTGCTTGCCTTGAGTTGAAGAGCTGAGAGTTCAAGCCCCACAACTGACCAAAAACATGAGTGCTTTTCAGCAAAAACAGCTTAAGTACTTTCTATATGTGTTTTAACTCAATAGAGCCATTAAGTTGCTCAGGTAAGTATCAGAAACTTGAGGAATGTAAATATCCACACCTAGAACTCTGACAGGCTTTGAGTTATAGTTAAGGATGCATGCACATGATCTAGTTGTGAGCATCCTCATTACAGTAGAGTTTTCAATAACAAAAATATAGAACAACTTGGGCTGGGAAGGTGGCTCAGTGGTAGAGCGCTTACCTTGCATGCATGAGGCCCTGGGTTCAATTCCTCAGCACCACATAAGCAAAAAGAAAAAAGTCAGAAGTGGCGCTGTGGCTCAAGTGGTAGAGCGCTAGCCTTGAGCTGAAGAGCCCAGAGTTCAGCCCCCACGACCGACAAAAAAAAAAAAGAGAAAGAAAAAATATAGAACAACTTTAAGTTTCAGTAACCAAGTGTTGGTTAAATAAGTCATAGGATACTCATAAATGTAATATTAGCCATTTAAAATAACATTAAATAACATTAAAATAACATCTTCATTACTATGGAAAGATGTTCAGTATATTCTTGATAAAAAAAAATAACCTAGGGAGAGTATGAATTTCCTGTAAAACATGGCAAATTAAGACATGTCTATCTTCTTCCCTGAAACTACTAAAATGACAGCAAAAGGATAAAAATGGTATAAAACCATAAGACAGAACGGGAAGCAGAGAAGACAGCAGGTGAGAGATTAAAATAATTGGAAAGGTAGGAATTAGATGGATGGTTGCTAACTGAACAAACAGAAAGAACAGCTAATAATCAACTATCTTATAGAAGCAAGCTGATCTGAACCCCAGAAACCCAGACAGGCCAAAAAGTTAGAGACATTAAAGTTTTCTGAAAGCCAAAATGAATAAGGAGCAGTTAGGTTCCACAGCCCTTCTCTACCTTAAGCACCCAGATGAATGCCCCTCTCTTAGAAAAATGATTCAGAAACACTTGATGGGCATGTTCAGGTAAGGGCATGTGAGTTAAGCATTGTATGAAAATCAAGGTAGCTATGCTAAATAGTGAGAACCCATCCCACTTCCTTCTCTTTGTTCATAGAACACTTATAGTCAGGCATAGATTCCCAGGCAAAAGTTAGATAGCTGGTCTCTGGGGAAACTTATCAGCAGAAAAAACTGGCAGATGCTGACCTTATAGCTCCTTTAGTGACCTAGCTGCCAACCTGCCTCTGATGTCTGGTCCACTTGATGATAGGTTTTACCCATGATCACACTGAGCCCCACAGGTGCTCCACAGAGCTCTTTGAAGTGGAGCACACATACAGGATCACCAGACTTTGGAAGGCCTCTAACATGGAAGACAGGGTAGGGATGCCCGAAAGACCTCAAAGCCCTGTTATCACTGTGCTCAGACAAAGAAACTATGGCATCCATACTGTAAGGACAGAATATTATAATTAGAGTTTTAAAAAATATATATAAATATCAAAAACCAAACAGTAGAAAAGCTGAAAGATAAGAGTGAAGAACTTTCCTGGACATTAGAATAAAAAAGAAATTGGGGGGGGGGGGGAATAGGAAGTAACTGATAAGCAGAGAAAATTATCAAAGACATGATAAGAGAAAATTCTCCAGGACAGAAGAATGTGGATTTCCAGATATAAAAGGCCCACTAAAGACATTTCAGCGTAATGAATTAGTATATGAGGGGACCAAGGGGATGGTATGTAGCTAACTAGTACGGCCCTAGGTTCAATCTCTTGCACTGAAAGAAAAAAAGTGTGAGGAAATGAAACGAATGCATGTCATCACAAATCACAAGAGCTTCCAGAGAAATAAGAAGTTACCTTTAAAAGACTGAGAATCAGAATAAAGACTCATACAATATCAAAACTGATTTCTTCAAAATTCTAAGGGGAAATGATTTTGGATATTAACTGCAGTTACAATATCAAATCAGAAAAATATGATCCCCTAGAATTTACTTCCCCTGTGCCATTTCACTTACAGTGGAGAAAGAGTGTGACCACACAGTGAGGACCAAATCAAGAAAGAGGCTGACACAGGAACGAGGAATCCCATTTTGTGCTAGCATATGGTTCATTTTCGGGGGAGAATTCAGGCAACAGGATCCTGGGATTTGGTAATATAGAGACCAAGATCCAACATTCAGGGAAGATTCAACAGGACAGCTGTACCTAAGGTCTAGAGACCACCATCAAATTTGTCAGAAAGACAATGAGCATAAGGAAAGGACTGTCTAAGAATGAACAAATGCAGAATTGATTCATTACTTATTGAGTCTGTGTAACTGAGTTATACAGTTGATGAATTAGGAATAAAGACTTTAAAAAGTGAAATTAATTCAAGACAAAACAAACAAGTACATGTGAGAATATCTAACATACTGTGTATGTAAGTGGTGAGTAATGATTCCATTGTTACAATAAAAATCCTTGTTCCCTTTTCATATATGCATAAAATCAACCCTATATATTTCACCATAAAGTATAACCCAATTGGCAGGATAAGGGAAGAAAGGATTTGTGATGGAACCAAAGTAGGATAAACCTCATCTACTATAGTAGGAGGTCATTAGAAAAATGTCTAAAATTAAAAAAAGAAATAGAAGTTTAAGCATGTTATTTAGAAACATAGAAATAAACACCAGAAGAAACAGCTAGAGAAGTTGAAAAGAATTCTTTTTTTTTTGGGGGGGGGGGCGGGTCCGGGCATGGGGCCTGAACTCTGGGCTTGAGCGCTGTCCCTCAGCTCTTCAGCTCAAGGCTAGCGCTCTACCACTTGAGCCACAGCGCCACTTCCGGCTTTTTTCTTTTTTCTTATGTGATGCTGAGGAATCCAACCAAGGGCCTCAGGCATGCAAGGCAAGCGCTTTACCACTGAGCCACCTTCCCAGCCCGAAAAGAATTCTTAATACTGACAAGGATCTGGGAGTGAGGCTAAGGACTACTGGTTCATGATAAGCTTTGTGGTACCCTTCCTTTTCCAATAATAAAATAATATTTTTAAAATATTTAATAAAAATAAAACTACTTTTACAGCTTGACTCAGTTTTGCTTTTTAAAAAAGAATTTAAAAATGTGTGAGAGAACTATCAATTTACTGATGTTTACTATGAGGTAGTCGTAAGCACATTTGTTCTGATACTGTGACAACCAGTCCCATTCTGTGTCAGCATGTGGTTCATTTTACTGTAATGTGATTGCATTTTCTGAAGGATTTAAGCAACAGGATCCCAGGGAAAACTGGCACTGGCAGTGTTTTATAAACAGATGAAAGTTAACCAATTATAAACACTTTGTAAACTTAAATTCTCCAAGTTCCATTGAGATATTGAGAGTGAGCCACTAACTCTGTATTAAAAGTATCTATAGTATTTTGTAGGCTTTTTAAGTTCAGCTCTTTCTGTGGCTACAACTTAACTATTCGAATTTACTAATGATAAGCTACATCCTACCTATATGTAACTTTTTGTTTATTTTTGTGCTGGTCCTAAGGCTTGAACTCAGGGCCTGGATGCTGTCCTTGCTTCTTTGCTCAAGGCCAGTACTCTATTTCTAGAGTCACAACTCCACTTTTGGGCTTTTATTGGTTAATTGGAGGTAAGACTCTCATAGACTTTCTGGACTAGCTTTGAACTGTGATCCTCAAATCTCAGTCACTGAATAATTAGGATTAGAGGCATGAGCTATGGGTGCCCAGCTATATGTAGTTTTTAAAATACAACTTTATTGTTATTATTAAGGTGGGGTTTATTATTAAGAGGAGTTACCACTGTATAAGTCAAATAATGAGTGCATTTCTTTTTTTTGGACAATGTCACCCCTTCCTTTGCTTTCCCCCATTTTTTTCTGCTGCCCCTGTATATATAATTTTTTAACCCAATAAAAACTATCCTTGTAATGCTTTGACTCCTTCAAATATGAAAGTAGTCTTTTAAAGTTATTTTTAAATTAGAAGAATAATATATGACATGGTTTAAAAAATAACAAGCACAGGAAGATATACAATGTGCATCAGTCCCCTGGCAGTCTGACTCCCTGGAAGCAGACATGGTTAGTAATTTCTTATGAGTCCTTCCGGACATTTTAATGCATTTAAACTTTAAATGCACTTAAAAAGCATATGCTTTTTCTTTTTTCCAGCAGCAAGACTTAGAGATCAGAGTCCTGAAATTTGGAGCTTTAGTTTATGCCAGGTTTTAATTTCTAACCTTTTAGTGTTAATATTGATTTTTTACTTTTAATATTTTCCTTTCTACTTTATTTATTTATTTATTTTTATTTTTGGTTGGTCGTGGGGCTTGAACTCTGGGCCTGGGCGATGTCCCTGCGCTCTTCAGCTCAAGGCGAGCACTCTACTGCTTGAGCCACAGCGCCACTTCCAGTTTTCTAGTGGTTTATTGGAAATAAGAGTATCACGGACTTTCCTGCCCAGGCTTTGAACCATGATCCTCAGATCTCAGCCTCCTGAGTAGCTAGGATTACAGGCATGAGCCATCAGCGCCCAGCTCTACTTTATTTTCGAAATGATTGAATATTCTATTTTACAAAGCCGAAGTATTTATAGATACAGAATGACTTCAATTACTTTTTCATTCTTCCTCCATAAACTATATGATATTATTTCTTTCAGCATTGGGGGCCTTATTCTGGACACAACAGTATCTGACCCGAACTTGGTTGGGATTGTTGTTTACACACCAGTTATTAACGGTAAGAATTAGATGCACTGTTTCATGAGGATATAAAAATCTTTTTTTCAATTTATTTTTGTGATGCTGCTGGGGCTTGGACTGAGGACTCAAGGTCTCTTGTCCTTGGCTTTTTCACTCAAGGCTGTACTACTTGAATCACACCTTCACTTCTGGTTTTTGGAGGTAAAAATTTCTCAGTTTTGCTAGCTTGGGCTAGCTTAGGGATGGCCTCTAGCCACAGTCTCAGTTCTCAGCCTCCCAAGTAGTTAGGATTACAAGCATCAGCCACTGTTCCCTCTTGCAGAGTAGAAATTAAATACCTTGATTTTTATGTGGAGATCACAGTTTGGAAAAAGCTGCTTTATCATTAGATATTAATTTGACAGTCAGATATCTGTGTGGTTAAAGTTAGTGTGGTTAAGTATTATACTTAAGCTAGTATGGTTAAGTATTATACTTCAGATCTGCATTATCTTTTACCTTGGCCTTTTCTGCTGTCTTACATTATTTTGTTGCTGCTTTGGTTGGTTGTCATGGATAAATTAACATTGGAAGCTTTTAGTTATTCTTTAAGTCAATTCAGTTTATTAGAATCTATTACTAGTCTGCCTATCCCTTTAAAATATGCCTAATAATTTTCTTTTCCATAAAATAGGAATTACAACACTTAAATTCACAGGGATCTTTGTTTGAATTGGTTTTGGATGTGGCTGTCATTAAGTCAGACTTCAGTATAGCCTAGACTGGTATCATTTAAAAAAATTTTACCTGGGGAAAAAACATATCAGCATTTATTATACATTTAATATAAATTGTTGTTGTTGTTGTGAGGTTTGAACTTAGGGCCTGGGCACTGTCCCTGAGCTTTTTCACTCAAAGCTAGCACTCCACCACTTTGAGGCACAGCTGTACTTCTGATTTTTCTGGTAATAAATTGGAGATAAGAGTCTCAGATACTTTCCCAACTGGGCTATCTTTGAGCCGTGATCCTTACATCTAAGCCTCCTTAGTAGCTAGAATTACAGGTGTGAGCCACCAGTGCCTGGAAATATAAATTACTTTTAATGTTTACAATGATGTTATACAAAGGCAAGTTTTCATATTTAAAATTTCTATTGAACAATTAAACTTTTTCCACCTTTAAAATGTCTGTGAAGAAATTTCTCTTACAAGTGTCTCCCCGTATTTATGGTGCTTCTGTACCCCCATATTCAATCCTTAAAATCTGGGAACTATCTGAATCAACCTTGCTCTTTTCATTGACATGAAAATGGCCAAATATTGTCTATTCACTTTTTTACATAATTCACTTGTTCATCCACTTATTATATAATAAGCAGGTCTCCGTATTGTAGTCTAATGTCTTCACTGAGGTCATCTGTTTCAGTAAGGAAGTAACCTTTCTGACTTGCTCCTATTCAATATAAATTAAATGCCACTAAAAGAGTAGTTTTCTATAAATAATGCTTTCATCATATTAATCACAAGATTAACTTAACATTGATTTTCCCTGTGTATTAAACCAAATATGAATTCCCTTATCTAACTTTCAAAACCCTTTATATGCCATTGGTTTTTATTCCCAAAGGACACACACCACTTTTCATATTATTCTTACTATATTCTTGTAGTGTCCCTACCAAGACTGTCTTCATTTTCACTATATCAGTACCATTTTCCTTCTACCTGTTCAAATTCTCTTCAGTGAATATTAATTGACAAACTAATTTTAGAACCATATCAAACATTATTCTAGTTAGAAGCCTCAATTGTAATAAACCTTTCATTAGGAAGGTTTTTATAGTTATTTCAGTTATTCATATTCATAACAAACCAGTGTAGAGCTACATGAAGTGTGTTCCCTTGGGAATGTGTACTCTGGCACATAGCATGGCTGGTAGGAGGTAAACCTCTTGGTTGGGCAACATGATGAATTTGTCTTATGGTAAGTTCCACTCTAAAAATATTCATAGAGAAGTTTTCTTCCATGTTCCTGGTTCATTCCATTATCACTCCGTGGAATTCTCAGTCCATCAGTTAATTTAGCCTTTTATCTATCTCCCATGTCTTCTCCTCCTCCATTGTTTCCCTTTAGCTTACAAATGTGCTCATGTTTTTCATTCTAAATCATCTGTTCTGCCTCTCAGGCTTTGGTTTTCTCTTCTCTTTACAAACATACTTTCTATATTTTTCTAATTCATTAAGGTATTTTCCTTCCCTCTCACTATTGGTAAGTACTAATCTTTCCCTTGACCTTTTTTCTTACTTTGTCTCATTCAGCTTTTCCATACTGTTTAATTCACCTCTTTTTTTTGGGGGGGGTCCATCGTGGGGCTTGAACTCTGGGCCTAGGCCTTATCCCTGAGCTCTTCAGCTCCAGGGATAAGCCACAACGCCACTTCTGTTTTTTGTTTTTTTTTTTTTTCTTGGTGGTTAACTGGAGATATGAGTCTCATAGACTTTCCTTCCCGGGCTGGCTTTGAACCTCGATCTTCTGATCTCAGATTCCTGAGTAGTTAGGTTTACAGGTGTGAGCCACTGTCATCTGGCCATAGCAAGATTTTAAGGAAGATTGTTTCCTGGGTAGAGTTCCAGAAAAGTTGCCCCTCTACCTCTTTTCATGCCCAATTTAATTATCTTTTTATCTATCTGTTATCTTCCTAACAAACCTAATCTTGTCCCTTTCTCAAAGATCACAATTTGCTTTTTGTTTTCCAGGCAATGAAGTAGAAATTATTTAGTGTAACATATTGGGCTCAGTAGGGTACAGAAATGTAACTTTGGTGTGGAGAGAAAAGGAGCCTGAAGCAAGGCACAAAGATAAGTGGCAACACAGAGGTGTAGGACAGAGAAAAGACTGAGATAAAGAGATGTTCAACTGATAAGTCTAGTTGTCCCAAGAAAGCATGCAGATTCATTTTTCCGGGGTGATTTTTCCTGTGGCAGCCATAGAAAACTGTATTTTGATGGCAAAAGATGAAGAATGTAGCTATTTGTAGCCATGCTTAGAGCATAAGTGATCAGCCTCCATATATCTGTCACCCATTGGAGACATGCAGGCTGGGGAGTTTTGAGTCAGGGCAGTGTTTCTCAAACATTTTCATTGTCATAGAACATGCTTTGAAAGAGCTATCTAAAATAATTCTAAATCTGCTAACTCATGAAATATTAGCATCATAAATACATTGCTTATTCACTCACTATCTATGCACACATATGCTGTATAGTGTGTATACTTTGAAAAAAGTATTAAGCCAAGCTCACAGAGACAAACAGTATGTGTTCTCTACGGTATGCAGCAATTGCATCTAAAATACACTGGGATATGATCAATTATGCAGTTTTCTAGATATTCATACATAGTGAGACCAAAAGAGGATACTCTTACGAGAGAAACACAAAAGCTCAATGCCTAAGTACCTCTTCTTAGTTATATAGAATGATATACATACTGAGACAAACTCCAAGATATGGAAACAAGAGACATTAGTATAGTGTATTCAACTATATATCTTTGGAAGTGTTGCGGGGAGGGTACAGAACTCGAGGGAAGAAAGGATGAAAAAATGCAGAAGTGGAGCTCACTGGACACTGATCAAAGTGAACTATATAACTCATGGGTAGAGATGGGTGGAAGGACTGGGAGAGAATGAAGGAACAGGAGACACTGTACAAAATGTAATTGTAATCCTTCTGTAGATCACCTTTATAATAACAATAAAGTAAATTAATAATAAAAATATTAAATAATGGTATAAAGGGATTACAATTCCATGTCAGGTTTTGAATACAATGTTTCTTGATAATGTATGTATGCTTTATACATAAAAAAGTAAAATCTTTTTCTCTCCCAAGATCTATTTTTTGCCCTCATTAGGAATATGTGAAGGATGTGGAAAGCACGTATCAGTCATTTGATAACTTGTGCACAAGTTATTAGTATTAGGAAGGAAATGATAAAGCTGATGACTGGGCTGGTGAGTTAAATGTACCTGCCCATATTTATCTGAAAGGATCCTCACTAGGAGAAGATTTATGTATTTCTTCTGAAAAATATGAAAATGTGGAAGACATGTTTCCGATTCCCTTTACATTTCTTCAAAGTGGAAGAAATTATTGTTTATGGGTTCTAAAACAGTGTCTTGAAAGAAAAGCAAGTGAAAGGATAAGTGAAGGTGGAGGAGGCTAAAACGTCTGGGTATTCATGGAAGGATAGGGGAAGGTGGAGGAGGCTAAAACATCTGAGTATACATGAAAGGATAAGTGAAGGTGGAGGAGGCTAAAACATCTGAGTATACATGAAAGGATAAGTGAAGGTGGAGGAGGCTAAAACATCTGAGTATACATGAAAGGATAAGTGAAGGTGGAGGAGGCTAAAACGTCTGGGTATTCATGGAAGGATGGGGAAGGTGGAGGAGGCTAAAACATCTGGGTATACAAGAAAGGATGGGGAAGGTGGAGGAGGCTAAAACGTCTGGGTATTCATGGAAGGATGGGGAAGGTGGAGGAGGCTAAAATGTCTGGGTATTCATGGAAGGATAGGGGAAGGTGGAGGAGGCTAAAACATCTGGGTATACAAGAAAGGATGGGGAAGGTGGAGGAGGATAAAACATCTGAGTATACATGAAAGGATGGGGAAGGTGGAGGAGGCTAAAACGTCTGGGTATACGTGAAAGGATGGGGAAGGTGGGGGAGGCTAAAACATCTGGGTATACATGAAAGGATGGGGAAGGTGGAGGAGGCTAAAACGTCTGGGTATTCATGGAAGGATGGGGAAGGTGGAGGAGGCTAAAACATCTGGGTATACATGAAAGGATGGGGAAGGTGGAGGAGGCTAAAACGTCTGAGTATACATGAAAGGATGGGGAAGGTGGAGGAGGCTAAAACGTCTGGGTACCTGGAAGGTGCCAGGTCTGATGTGAGATGGATTCTGAGGGTTTATTTTTGAGAAAATAAACTTGTTTATTTTGTTTTTTGGAAATGTACCAACAAATTCTTGACAAAATTTGAATTCTATGA